AATCGATTCAGTCAAAAATCATTTTATTATGTGTTCAGAATTTGATAAAGGCTGTAATTCTTTGTTATATTACCACCCGGGTGATCTTTTTATACTAGCCAACGGGTCACCCGACAGGTCACCCGTCGGGTGACCCGGGTGGGTGACATTTTTAAGTTGACCCGATTTCCACCCGGGTGACTTATTGTCCACCCGACGGGTGACCCGGGTGAAGGTTTTAAAGACGGGTCAAATCACTAGCCCGAATTGACCCAAAGCCTGGCTCGACCCGCAAGTTTCCGGGCTTAGCCTGGCCCGACCCGCACCCTAAACATCACTATGCTTGTTTGTGCAAATGCTTATTGGGCCTAAGTAAATCTAGGACTGTGTTTGGTCAACTTTTTGATGGATGACAGTTCAAGGACCTTACATGATGATTAGGATCTGCAACTGCAATAGCGGTGCAAGGACTTCATGCTAATGTTTAGGCAAGGACTTCAAGGGACTTCAAGTTGATTAAGTTTCGCAGCAGCAATGTGAGTGCAAGGATCTTATTTTGTGATTAGACTTCGCGGCTGTAATAGCAGTGCAAGGACCTCATGTTATAATTAGGCTCTGCGGCTACAGTAGTAGTGCAAAGACCTCATTATGTTGTAATTAGGCTCTGCGGCTACAATTGTAGTGCAAAGACCTCAAGTTGATGAATAGGCTCCTTGCTATGATAGCAGTACAAGGACCTCATGTTGTAGTTAGGCTTCGCGGCTACAGTAGTAGTGCAAGAACCTTATGTTTAATGATTAGGCTCTGCGGCTGCAATAGCAGTGCAAGGACCTTATGCTGTAATTAGGCTCCGCGGCTGCAATAGCAGTGCAAGGACCTATAGGTAAGTAACAACACCCACGTCGCTATGTAAAATTAATAACCAATTCTCTTTATAACTATGTGATTTCTTGACTACATTCCCATACAAGATGCAATAGATTATAAGGCGGATAGTTATCTTCGGTTGATAATATTTCCTTGGAGTCTAGATATTCTACGATGTTTGATATAGTGCTTGTAATTGATAGCGAACAGAATCCCTATATGTTTTTTCTTCGTCCAAATAAAGTCATCTAATTAAGAAATAATAATGTTAATTTATTGCATAATTGGCTGTATATATTAAATGCTTCGATAGATGATCTTTACTATAATGGCTGCCAAGATTGTTTGAGGGTATTGATTGGCTAGTTAAACTAAATGTAATATGATTCGTCTATAGTTTTTGTCGTTCGTCTAGGTTTTGTCAGTTGAAACCAAAGATAAACTGTTTTGTCTGTACAGGAATAGTTTCATCAGGCATCATTAGCCAGAACTTTAGTATTCGATTTCAATCATTAAGATTCTTAATGATCAATAATTAGTCATGGGATTGAAATAGGATCACGGTATCGATAAATTTTCAATTAGAGGTAACAATGACGTGATCAGAGTTTAGATCAATTGTTGGTTCACTATAAATAGAGTTTGGTTTAATAATTGATTCTTTCTCTTTCTTGTTCTAATTTAAAATTGGGAATAGGGATACAACGATTTTATGTATGCAAAAATCTTATGATTTTTTTGTTCTAAATTAAAAAAATAAAAGATTAGCAAATCCAAATAAACAATTTATAATAAATAGCATAGACTATTAAAATGACAAACATATAATTATCCACCACTATTGCAATACACTAATGAAATGCTAAATCAACAACAATCTGTTAATTATTCAAACATGTATTCAGTTCTTATTGATTTCCTATTTACATTTGCTTTAACTATTTGTTAGCTATATACCTTCGTTCCTGGTTTTTAGTGTAACTGCGTCATGCAGCTACCTTATTTAGTTAGTATATATACATTATAATTTATGTTTAGCAATTTAAGCAAAAATTAGGATTAGTACAATTAACTATTATATAGTATTAGTTATTTAGTCTAATTTCAATTCTCAATTCAAGTTTACAAAGATATATTTGTACTATATAAGTTTCTTGTTTATTGTTAATTCAGTTATTATATGATTAATTTCAAATAAAATGCTTAAACTAATTAGATTATGTGGTGATAATCACCGCTGATAATAATTATAACTGGTGATAATCACCACCGGTGATAATTACCACTGGTGATAATCACCACCAGTAAGCTTTAGCAATACTCAAAAATAAAATCTGAATTTGGCTACTAAAAATTTTTATTTGCTGCGACTAGATTGTATATACTGTATTAAAGTAAAAGTAGATTTTGCTTAATTGCAAAAAATTTTATTATATAAATTGATTATATGTATTAAGTAAAGTTTGTTTAGAAAGAGTTTGAACCATATAGCTTAGTAGTTAAGCTGCCAAACCCCACAGATTAGGTTGACAATTCAAGTCAAGCTAGAAGTAAAAATTCTGAGATTTTTCACTTTTGTAACTTAATAGGAGGCCATAATCAAATGCAGAACTTTGTGATTAAATCTAAGTGCAAGTATAAAACTAGAAAAAGAAATTCCTGAAAGGAGGTTGAATCATGAAGTAGTGGCACTATATATGATAGGTTATAGAAGGTTCTGTTATATAAAGGTTATACATATTAGTCTTTGATTAGTGATATTGGGACAGCACCAACATTATTAGCAGTTGAGGTATTTGATTAAGAGAATAATATAACAATAACAAAATTAAAGTAGTGAGAAAAGTGGTAAATATAAGGATGACTTGTGATAAAAGATTTGTTTATCTACAGTTTAGAAGTACCTCTGCCTCAAGCTACTTGGCCTATTAAGAAAGAAACTTATAAAGACAGAACAAGAAGGCTAAAACTTAAAATATATATAAAAACTTGAAATGGCTAGATTTACTAAGCTAGTAGTATAATTGTACAAATCAGGTTTGTATACCAAAAATTAACAAAGAATACCAAATACTGAAATTAGAAGTATTATGAACTGCAAGCTGCAACTAGATCTAGACTCTTAGCACCTTGTAAACTAAAATATCATAGTATTAGAATACTATAACTCATACTATAGAAGAGAAATAATATAAAACCTGCAATTTGGAAGTTATAGATAATCTATAATGCAACAAGGTGAGTCTGCACCAATATACAGAAGTATCTACCCAATGTAGAAATAGAAATTAGCAGTATACTAACTAAACTAAATATTAATAATGAGGCTTAACTTGGGTCAGCATGAGTTCCTCTTCATGATACTATCTGAACAGACTACTTGAAAATAATTGTGGCAGATCATAATGAAATCAGATTATAATGAAATTTAACTTATTTTATGTATGATTTTTAAAATTTTTTGGGACCTTTTTAGTTAGGTTTTTTTATATAGTTAAGTTAGGGTTTAGGGTTAGAATTATTAGAAAAAGAGTATAGGTGGATTTTGGTAGAGCTTATATTTTTAAATTGAGACCCTTAAATTTTACAATGATCTGATTTCATTATGATCTACAACAATAATTAAGATTGAGAGTAACCTATAAGATTACAAGACCATATCTCAGAAGAAACTATCAAATTTAGGAGCTTAGATATAAGTAATATAAGAAATGTGAAGAATGACATTATAAAAAAGTATACCAAAATAGGACTAGTGAAGGGTAAAAAAATACTAAGTGAGTACTATCTATAAGGATGTATCACATTAGTAGGTTTGAATCACAGATAATTGAATCAGTAGCCAAATAGTGAATAGAGACACCTATTGTACAAGTAATGATTTTAGCCAAAATGTAAATAGGACTCCAAAATATACATAGATAGGTCAGGTTAATTATAGAGTTACTAAAAAAGGAAAGATCTGCAGAAAAAAACTTCAAAAATAAGCAAAAAAATTATTATAAATAGAAAAGATCTGCATGAAAACCCTCAAAAATAAGCAAACTCATATCTGACCTATCTATATATATTTCAGAGTTCAGTGTAAATTACTAATAGAAATAGGGTCTAAGCTTAGTATACTTGATATATGTAAAATACAAAAATGTAATAATACATATAATGAAAGTATTAACATTAAATAAAGTTATAAACAAGATCCTATTTGAATACCAAAAAAAAACGATTGTTCTGAAAATTAAAATGCATATATTTTAAAAATTTTATATAAATTAGACAACTTTATATTAATTAACTTTTGCTTTTTATATTTAATAAACAAAAATTTTAAAAAATTTTTAAATTTTTTATCTAATATAATATATAAAAGGACGAATTTATCTATTACCCAGGGTGATATTTGATATTTCTCACCCCTATAATTTTTAATATTAAAATTTTGATTTTTACACTTTTATAAAATTTAATAAATTAAATAAATCTTTATTAAATCAGACTTGTAAAGTAATATTTAGTTTTGAAGATAATATTGTTCATTTCGAGGATGTATATTTATATATATGGATCCGAAGAAGAAAAAAGCAAAAATACTCAAAAACTAGTGTTTAAATCGATCTTGATGCATTAATTAAAAATGTCGTAAATGAAATTTTATATATAATGAGTTTTAACTTTAAGGCCTAACCCTAAATTTTCATTTCACGCACTTAGTTTATTTACAAAATCAGATTTTCTCTTTTGGGTTGTATTACTTGTGAAAATAAGTAAAGCCTTATTGAGACGTATATAATACGTAATATATATTGTGTTATGGATAGTCTTATTAATACGTTAATGTACTGTATATAATATAAATATAAGTAAAAAAAAATAATTAAAAGAATAAGTTCTTTCAATTTTATTGGAAAATCATAATATGTACCTTTCTTCAAATTAAATAATTTTTAATGCTCAAAATTAATTCAGTATATTTTGACAAATTGATTTTCATTCACAGGTTGTGAATTGATTCTAAATACTTATTATCTTATCCATTTAATATTAAAATGCAGATTTTTAGAGTATAGCAATCGAAAATAGCTCATAAATACAAAGTTTTAGATAAATCAATGATCGTGACTAAATTGAGTAAAAGTAATGATTAGAATATAGCAATCAAACCAAAAAACACTTATCTTTTGATTATTTTTTCGTAGTTTTGATCTTGTCATTAATATATAATTGGTGAAATATTAAGAGAATATGGCAGTAAAAAAATACAAACTTAAGAAAAAATACATACCCAATAATACATGTCAAGAAACTTATACACAAATTAAAGAATTAAAGTGTTATAATACCACTCCAATATTTGACCCATTAAAAACTCAAAAATAATTCTCAAATGTTCATAATATATAAAAGCAATATATATCAATTTTATACTTATCTCAATATGTCATACAAGAAACATGCAGAAAATTGCTACAAATTTAAACTAATCTACCTTTCATTGACCTTATTGTTTTTATATGTACTTCTTATTCACCCACCCTTATGCAGCAGAACATGTATTACGATAATGTCCACCTTCACCACATAATCCACATTTACGACACCTATCATTATTGGATATGTTTGACACATTTGATTTTGATTTACTGTTACTTTTAGGTTGTTCAATGGACGATTTTAACCGTTTTGATGATGGCCTTCCCTTTGGTTTATGCTTTATCAGATCTAAGACTTGCATCGAATCGAGTAAAATCCCATTTGTATTACAGATAATCTGATTGCCATTTGTAGTAATTTTCCAAATATTCAATAATTCTTGCTGCTTGATTAATTCGGCTTGAATCTGTTGATCCTCTTTCCGTTTATTAAATTCTTTCAAAAATTGCATTAAATCATCGCACCCATCCTGTATTGCATATTGGATTGCCTTTTTAGCTTCACCCATTAGAGCACCATATTTCAATCAACTTTTTGATATTTGTTTATAGCACTTTTCTGAAAGATCAGCTATAGTATATTTGCGAGTAAATTCTGAAATAATTAGTGTATTACTATGATTAGAGTCGCTTATTGCCATTTCATTAAAGTAGTTCTCACCTGATTCAAAATATTCATCCTTGTACCAATGGTTAGGAATTAACTTTAAATGAAAATACGCTTTAGCAGATACCGTAAAAATTTTTAAAAAATGTTGACATATAACTCCATGTGTAATAAGCATAAAGCACATGCACAAATGTTCACTATTGTTAAGCAAAATTACATGTTGATAGCATTTTGGATGATTATAGCAGGAAACTTTCCAAATTTCTAAAATCTCATTGTGGTTAACCATTGAAATTAAAGATTGTAAATTAAGTTCTCGATCTTTATCTGCTTCAAGTAGAATATCTAAATTATCATCCGGTTCTTTTTCAAAAAATGGTTCAAACAAATCATCATTAGATAATAAAATTTCTGACATAGATACTTGACATGCAAGGTAACATACGGATTGACACATTTGCTTATAATGTGCATCATGAATTGGTTGAGTAAGAAATTTTTTCATTATATGATCAATACTGGTAAAAAATGTTTGTATAATAAATGGTTGAGTATACTGTAATGTTGATGATTTCCAAATTGAATAGCGATTATTAATCGACTCAAATTCAAGTCGATTTTCCAGAGCTTCTTGAACTTCCAAAAAAGAAGAGCTTGACTGTATAGCCTTTTTAATTAATTCATTCTCTGATTCGACACGTTGTGTTGATTGTGTTCCTGCTGTAAAGCAGCAAGATGTGAAGCACTTTACCCATGTATATTTTCGATCTAATAACATTGTTATATATTTTTCCACTGCTTTGTATTTTTTAATTAGACCTTGAATTCTCTGTTTAAATACTTCTTCACAGTGAGAACGCTGAATATTTTTAAAATCCTTAAGGAAATCATGGTAAAATGATCCTAAACATGAACGAAAGTTCTTTGAAATATTTTGATAAAGGTGATATAAGCATTGCATATGGCGAGTTTTGAGAAATATGATAGAAATTGCCGCAATCATTGCAGGATCTGCGTCTGTAACAAACGTTAATAGAGGAATCTCACATGCTTCTAAACAACATTGAAGCAACCATTCATATAATTCTTGTCTTTCATCCTGTATAAATGCCTGTGCTGCTAACCTACTTCTGTTATGATTGTCAATTAAGATAAAAAGACTCAATGGATAGTTATATTTATTGGTTCAGGCAGTATTGTCATGAATAATTATGTTATAAAACTTGGACCATCTTTTGCATTGTTTTGGAGACATCCAAAAAATACCAATTAGATGATTATCATCTATTAATGGTTTTACAAACCATTGTGAATCATTAGCTTGAAACTCTAAAAGTTTGGTCAATAAAGATGATGCATCACTTAAGTTTATCCCTTTTTCCTGCTTGATTTTTTGAATGGCATTTCCAAGATCTTGAGTAAGAAAGACATGATCCGGATACTTCGGCTGAAGAAGATTCCTAATCGTTGCTATATCACACTGACCATATATAACATAATACTCGATTTGTTCCATAATTTCTTGAGAAAAACTTTTGTAAGCAGCAGCGAACTTCATAGTTTCAACATTAATTTGATGATTATATTTATTATTAAACAATGTTATAGTTGCTATTGGAGAGTTTAATGACCGTGTTATATTTACTTGCCATGTGCATTCTTGCTTTTTACTTCCTTTGTTTTTTCACTTTCCTAGTGTTGGTCTTGAAAGCCGCTCATTATATCTTCCACCTCTATCACATTTAAAAACTCTTTTTCTGCAACTGCCATCTGAGAACGTTTTACATTTGTGTTTAAAAATGGAGAAATGGTTCTGTAAAGCATATTGCTCTACATAATGAACCACAACTGACATGGAAACAAACCGAGTGCCCACCTCAATCTCAATTGGAGTGGTGATTAAGGGCAAATCACCATCATAGATTTCAAATTCTGAACCTAAAACATTTCGAATAAATGATGCACTATCGGTGCTAACTAACTCTTCGTCATTATCTGCAAGTGTGTCTTCTGAAGCACTATTCAAAGAAGATTCAACCAAATCATTGTCTTTAGATGCAGTCTCGAAAGACATAATCTCAGAAAAAGATAACAAATTCCTAAATATAATGATAAATAGGATCGCCTAATAATATGGTTGAAGAACGGCAACAATGAAATCAGACTTGCTGGAAAAAAAAATTAAAGATCAATACATTAGAATATCAATTTTAAAAGCACATAAAATTAAAAAAAAAAAAACTTAAGAAATGGTTCTTGTAAAATCTTTGGGATTCAAAAATATGATATGACCTTCGTATTAGTTGAATATTAATAACTATGAAATTAAATTTGATTAAAAAATTTTAAAAAAATAAAATACTGAAATAGCAATTCAAGAACATGTAAAATTGAAAAAAAGAACTTACAAGGTAATTCAGGCAGTATTGTCATGAATAATTATGTTATAAAACTTGGACCATCTTTTGCATTGTTTTGGAGACATCCAAAAA